AGAGCTGCCTCAGGAGCCCCAAATCTAGTTCTTCCCCTTGGTGTGGGGGTCTGTAGCAGACCCCTACCACCAAATCCCTTTCTCCTTGACCTCCATGTAATCTAACTCACAATCCTTCTACTTTCTCCTCCTCCGATTCCATTTTGATAAGGGTTGATGTATATATCGCTCATTGACATAGCGATATGTCCTCCCCCTCTCTTTTCCACTCTATCCTTTCTGTACAGCTTATAACCTTCAATGTGTACTGCCCAGTCGTGGGAAGAATCCCACCGGGTTTCTGTTAGTCCTACTAAGTTGTAGGTGTTTTCTGCAAGCAGGAGTGCTAGTTCATCCTGCTTGCTCCCCATGCTCCTAGCATTGGTGCACAGGCACTTGAGCCCTGTGACTGGCGGCTTTTGTTGCCCCCCGGCTCTGATGCCCAAAGGGCCCCTTATTGCTTACCTGTGCTGTACTGCTGGCTGCCCCATGGATTGCAGGTTCCCGATGTTCTCCTTCAGGCTGGACTGTCCTTGTGGGTGCCACATGGTTTGGTGGTCCACGGCTTCCCCCGCCCTCGTCTTCCCCTCCCCCCGACAAGCCTAGTTTAAAGCCCGCTGGAGGAGATCCACCAACCTAGAAGAGAACACACGCTTACCTTTGGGGTGGGGCGGCACAGCAGTGGGACTCGCTTCCCAGCAGCCCCTGTGGTGCTATCTAACTCTGCCCAGTTGCTGCTGCCAGTGTCTCCACCACTAATGCCAGACCTGGCCCTGCTTCCCAGGTGCTCAGGCCCATCCACGCCACACCCACCGGACAGAGCAGGCAGGCAGGTAGGTTCTCCATGGAGACTAGTCTGGCACCCCTGTGGGCAGGGCGTGCTCAGCCGGATGAATGGCTGGGGCCACAGGTGGGCAGGAAATGCCTGGTTCCTGCCTGTGGAACTGGCACCCATCACAGAGGCATGTAGGGAGCAGATCATGGCTCTGCCTGGGGCCTCAGGCCCGTGCTGTCACTGCCCTGCAATCTCAGCCTTGGCCTTGGCTCTGGCCCTGGCTGCCCATAGAATCATAAAGTTAGGGTTGGAAGGGACCTCAGGAGGTCATCTAGTCCAACCCCCTGCCCAAAGCAGGACCATCCTCAACTAGATTATCCCAGCCAAAGCTGTCTAGCTGGGCCTTAAACACCTCCAAGGATGGGGATTTCACCACCTCTCTGGGTAACCTGTTCCAGTGTTTTACTACCCTCCTAGTGAGAAAATTCTTCTAATATCTAACCTAAACTTCCCTTGCTGCAACTTGAGACCGTTGCTCCTTGTTCTGTTGTCTACCACCACTGAGAACAGTTTAGTTCCATCCTCTTTCAAGCCCCCCTTCAGGTAGTTGAAGGCTGTTATTAAATCCCCTCCCAATCTTCTCTTCTCTAGACTAAATAAACCCAGTTCTCTCAGTTTTTCCTCATAAGTCATGTCCTCCAGCCCCCCTCACCATTTTTGTTTCCCCCACTGGACTCTCTCCAATTTGCCCACATCCTTTCTCTAGTGGGAGGCCCAAAACTGAACACAGTACACAAGATGTGGCGTCAGTGCTGAATAGAGAATAATCACTTCCCTTGACCTACTGGCAACACGCCTACCAATGCAGCCCAGTAAACCGTTTGCCGTCTTGGCAACAAGGGCACACTGCTGCCTGCCCACGCCATCCAGCATAGGATCAATTGTCATTTCCCCCCTCCCCCCAGCCAGCAACAGCTCACAAAAAACCTTGAAGGGGTCCTGCATCCCAAATAATTGCCCACCCCTGGATTACACTGACTGCTTCGACAACACATTTTACGTACACAGATCTAAAGCACTATATTATTAAACCTACTTTGTTATGGGTGACGTAACCTCCTTTTTTCAATCTCCATAGGTTATCTTTGCATATATAGTAGGTGGGGATTATGTAGACTTCTGTACTTTGTTTTCATTAAGTGATTATAAGGATCCCCAATATTGAAACTACCCAGAACTTGATAAAGCTGTAAAAACATACATGCAAAGGTATGAGAGAACATTAAATGACTGCCAAAGAGATAAAGACATTTCACAGTTCCTTAAAGACATAGGGCAGCCTTCTCAAACATGAATGGTTTGGATTATTTCCTGCTTTTAGCAGTTATATCAGGTATGAATTTTACCTAAACAAAAGATTTTGGTGTGAGGGAATAACTGGCATCTGAGTCTTCAATTTATCAGCCTTTTGGTAATTACTGTACTGATAGTTACCCAATGGGTAATTACTCTGAAATGGGTAATTATGTTAGAAAATTTAAATTGTTCCACTAAAATACAGAAAATATATTCTATGTACAGTGGCAGTTATAATTAGGAGACACACTCCCTAATTTAGAAGAGCTGGTAATTGGGAGATAGTCCCTCAGTTAAGAGCTAGCCAGTCAGTCAGAGGCAGACAGTGTTTGTGGGAGTTGCTTACTGCTCTGGTATAAAACCTGTTATGTAGTTCACTGTATGTCCACTGAAACTGGTGATCACTATGTGGTGGCAGGTGAGGCAAATGAGAAGGAATTTGAGATCCAAACTAAAAAAAAAAGTTGGAAACAGTGCAAGAGCAGTAATGCACAGTAATCTCACACAGTGGAATTTTCCATTGGTAAGGAGCCCTCAAAGGGGGGGAGAGAGCTTCCAGGTGGACGTGCAGCAGGCTTTGCCTGCCTAGTAATAGTCCAAGGACAGTTAGTCATGGAAGTGTTGCAAACTCCATGTGCCCTTCTGCTGTTGGACAATATATCAGAGAACTGGAGGGCATTCAGACAAAGGTTTGAGTGGTTGCTAGTAGCCCCAGGGGCAGAAGAAAAAAAAATGATCAAGTCAAGTTCTCAGTCTTCTTGTATGATGTGGGGGAGGAATCCTTGGCTGTTTATAATACTTTTACCTTCAAAAAGGTCCACATCTGAAATTAAGTAAAGTACTATCCAAATTTGAGGAGTACTGCACGCCAAAAAAGAATGGGACTCTTGAAAGAGACACATTTTTTTATGTGCAACCTCCCTCCCCACAAAAAAACAAAACAAAACAAAACACCCCACACAACAGGAGAAAGTATAGGCCAGTAAGTTTCTGAACTATAGAGACTGAGTAAGAACTGTGCTTTTGGGAACTTGACAGAATCTCCAATTAGTGATAGGATTATTTGTTGCACTGGAAACAGTGTATTAAAAGAAAAGCTACTGTGTCAGGGAGATTTCTCCCTAGAAAGGACTATCCAAATGTGCCAGGCAGTAGAGCTCAGTGCATGAAAAGGAGTCGTATATACAGTAGACATGAAAGAATATGGCCTGAAGAGGGAATCTTACACAGTGGAATTTTCCATAGTTAAGGAGCTCTCAAAAGGAGAGAGAGCTTCCAGGTGGACGTGCAGCAAATGTGGAAGGCAGCATAGACCCAAATTTTGTGCTGCATTTGGAAAGCTGTTTTACATGTAACAAAAGGAAGCAGACTCTGTAGATCCCAAACAAAAACCTCTAGTGCATACAGTCATTGGCAGATCTAGAATTTTCAAATGGTGGGGTGCAGATGGTGAGATGCATCATCGCTGTTATCATGAGTATATTCTTGCAATTAGTCCCACATGTTCACTCGCCTGCCACAACTTTGATGGGAGAATAAATGTAATAACTAAAGCAACAAAAGATAATTGCAGGTCTTAACGTCAATCTTTATGAGTTAACTTGTTACTTCTCACAAAAGGTCTCCTAAAGTGATAGCATCACCGCAAGGTCAACGAAGTCTAATCTTACAGTCTTTATGTCTGGTGAGTGGCTCCTGGCTGAGCTCACCCTCAGTGGTACTTCTGTCAATCTCTTTCAGCTCCTGCCTCTGGTTGCTGAAGGCTCCGTGTTTCCCCGCCTCCTGCAAGTGTCTCACCTCTTTCTCAATTCAGGTAAAGTGGCTCTATGCTGCATGACGTTCTCACAAATCAGGTAGCACTATATAGCTCCTGTGCCTCCGCACAGGTTCTCCCAGCCCTCTGGGTTGAATTTGCATTCCTCGTCCCCTTCTGGGGGTTGTTTATTGAGGAAGTGTCCTTTTCAAGACCTTCCCCTTCTTATTTCTGGTTCACGGTTTATAATTTCTTACAGGTGTTAGAATCTCCCGCCGTGAGATGCTGGATGATGATGTCATCACCTCCAGTCCATGTTTTCAGCTCTTGGTAAATTTAACTTTCCATTGTTAGTAACAGGGTCCAAGGGCTCCCTGATACAGGAACTAAGAGGGGAGAGGTATATAACTAATAAATTCTTTTAAATCGTTATCTTTTTTTTAATCACTTTTTTGTTCTGATGCAGCATTTATCTTCTGTGATGGTATCTATTCTGCAGGTATGGAATGACACAGGAAGTCAGCAATCATATTCTTGTTTCTGGGTTGATGCTCTACTGAGAAACAAAAAGGCTGTAACGCCAGTGACCAATGAATTATACATGCCTTGTCAGTTTTTGCTGACTGTAGCCGTCTTAATGGTGCATGGTCCGTGATTAATATAAATGTTCTCCCTAGCAAATAATATCTAAAAATCTCCACCCCCCACCTGATGGCCAAACACTCCCTCTCTGTGGTAAAATATCTAACCTCAGCTCCTGAAAATTGCTTGCTGGCATAAGCTATGGATCTTTCTTCTCTTTGTACTCTTTGGAATAAGACCGCTCCCAGAGCACTTCCTGTAGCATCTGTTTGTAAATAAAATACTTCTTGGAAATTGGGCGTGTAGAGTACTGTGTTTTGGGTTTGTTTCTTTGTTTTACAAAGAGCCTGCTTGACCTCATTGAAGGCCTTTATAGCCTGCTCAGACCATCATAACTGACTTACTCACCCTCTTGTCATGTCTGTCAATGGGCCCACTAATTCGGAGAAAACTCAGATAAACCTTCAGTAGTAATTAGCAAACCCTAAGAAGGACCTAAGCTGTTTTTGATTTCTAGGTAATTTATAATCTCTAATAGCAGCAACTTTATCGGCTACAGGTTGTATTCAACCCTGTCCAACCTGGAAACTTAAATAGTGATTTTCCTCCCTAGCAAGTGCACACTTTTTGAAGTTAGCAGTTAATCCAGCGTGCCTTAACTCTTGTAATACTGCCCTCAGGTGGTGACAGGGCTGTACCCAGTCTTCAGAAAAAATTATAATATAATCTATATATGCTGAGGTATAACTTTGATGTGGTGCTAAGATCCTATCCATCAACCTCTGAAACAAAGCGGCTGCCCCATGCAATCTGAAAGGCATTCTCCTAAACTGGAATAAACCCCAGGGCATATCAACTGCCTTTTTTTCTCTATGCTGTATAGCCATAGGGATCTGCCAATATCCCTTTGTTAAATCAAGTGTCAAAATGTACCTTTCTTGTCTTATCTTTTCCACCACGTCATCAACCTATGGCATTGGAAAAGCATCGAAAGTTGCCACTTCATTAAGTTTCCTATAATCTACACAAATGCTCATTGAACCACTGGACTTTGGTACTATAACTAATGGAGTTCTCTATAATGCCCAGCCATTTCATTTGACTGATCTCTTGCCTTAACAGACTGCCAGAGGTGACAAGGTAAACATCTCCAATGATTTCTCACTATACACCCAGTGGGAGTTTTTATATGATGTTCTACTGCTGTCACTTTTCCTGGTTTCTCACTGAAAACATCTCAAAATTCTCTCGCCAATTGCTCCAGCTCTTTCTGCTGTTTCACTAATACATTCTGCCCCACTTTCAGATCGTCCTCTTTTAACTCACACAATATGGGGTCTCCTATCACATCCAAATCTTGTGATTCAACCACTCCCTGCATAAGCCATCCTTCTTAATTGTGCCATTTTTTCAACAAATTAACATGACAGTTTTGTCTTCTCTTCACAGGTTCTGTCCGTTGTACCTCATTGTTCACTGGGCCTAGTGTACGAGTAAGATGAAATGGTCCTTGCCATCTAGATAACAATTTATGATTGTTTTCAGGCAACATTAATAGCACCCAATACCCCTCTTTGAATTTTCTATTTCTGGCATGTTCATCATACCATTGCTTCTGTCTTACTTGACTTTTACCCAGGTTTTCTTGTAGAAGGTTCCTTACTCTTCCTAATCTTTCCTGGAACTCTTGGACTGGGTGAGGTTGACACATCTCTCCAGGGACTTTTTCTAACCGCCCTTCACAGATTATATCCAGTAGCCCTTGAGATTTATGCTCATAAACTAATTCAAATGGAATGCAGCCAGTGGATACTTGCGGTGCCTCCCCAACCAAAAACAATAATGGAGGAATTATGGCTTCCCGCTTTCTAGGATCACCCTGAATATACACACGAATCATGCTTTTTAGGGTACGGTTAAAAAGCTTGTCTGTGGATGATACATAGAAGTCCTTAATTGCTTGATTTTCAGTATACTACAAATCCCCCTCAACACATTAGACATTAAATTTTTTCCCTAGTATGTAAGAATTTCTTGAGGTATACCCACACATGACACCCACTTCATAAGCTCCTCTGCTATTTTTGTCACTGTAACTGATTTCACGTGTATAGCCTCAGGGAACCTAGTAGCATAATCTATTATCACCAAGACAAATTGGTAACCTGTGTTGCTCTTGGGACATGGTCCTGCAATGTCCAATGCTATAGGATCAAATGGCCAGTCAAATAAGGGTAATGGCACCAAAGGTAAATGCGCAGGTTGAATATCGGAAACTTTGTAACATTCTGGACAATCCCAGCAATACCTCTCTACTAACTTATACAAACCAGGCCAGAACATTCTCTGTTTGAGGCATGCCTCCATCTTATCCCTCCCCAGATGTCTCCCCATGGGGAATGTATGGGCCACCTTTAACATCATAGACCAGTATTGGCGGGGTGCTAAGATTTGGAGGACCTCTTACCCCCTCTTCCCTAGTCCACCCGATACAGGATACCCTTACCTCAAACCCAGGAGTCGCTTTCACCAACCCTGAATTTGCGACTTCATCTTCTTGCTTAGTCAAATTCTCCTTGTAAATATTCTGAAACAGAGGTTCCTGCCTTTGCCTTTCTCTGAATTGCCCATCTCCTATAATTTCCTCTAAATCCATCTCAGCATCAAGATTTTCTTCTTGGTTGTCTTCTCTTGCATCTACCCCTATACATCCTCTGTCTTGTTGATCCTTACATCTTTCTTCCTTGAGATTCCCCATGCCCCACTACTTCCTTCAAATGAGGCCAATCCATACCTAATAGCATGGGACATAGCAGGGTGTCTGTGAATCCAACAGCCATCTCTTCTATATGCCCCATGACTCAATCATAATCTCTTTCTCTCATGAGTATATGAAACCCCATGAATACACATCATGCTCACAGGTGTCTAGGTTGGCCTGTCTGTGGGGGAATCAGATCTGCTCTGACCATAGTTTGAGTGCATCCTGTGTCTACAATTGTAGGGATTATCAAATTCCCTACTTTAATCTCTATTATAGTACTGGACTTTCACCTGGGGCTTTGTGTCTGCCAAAACTGCAGTCATGTGGAAAATCCTGCATTTGGTCCCTTGCTCCCCTTTGGGGACAAAAATCTAGCAATGTGCCCCTTTTCCCCACATCTGAAGCATAATATTTCCTTTGGTTCCCAATTTCTAATCTCATGGCTAGCTGTTTTTAAACTTCCAGCTTTATGTCCCCGACTCATGGTGTCTTGCCTCCCATTTGACACAGAGCTCCCACTTCTATCTTTCTTTACAGGTTCAGCTCCTTGCTCCACCATCATATAGTCTTCTGCCAATCTTACGGCTTCCTCCATTGACTGTGGGTGATGTCACTTTACCCCTCTGTGTGTATCACCATTCAAGTCTTTGATGAATTGTACTAATCCAACAGTGTGACCTACACCATCCAGTCCCAAATGCAAAAGGCTGGGTTAGTCCTCCTGGGGGCAATCATTAAATGACTCTATTTTGACATACAAGTCACCATAGTCAAGGCAACCACTAGGGGGTTATGTTTAAGGCTGAGCTGGTCTTGAAGATTTCCAAAGTGCACATGAGCTCTGTCCACAGAGCAACTAGCATGCAGTTTGTTCAGGAATTGTCTATGTGCAGCTCTTCCATAGGTTGCATGGACCTGAGACTACTTGTATTTGGGGTGCACTTGGGTCTGTGTTTTACAGCTGTTCTGTGTTTTTCAGACTATCCAATGTGGTGACTCCCCTTTTAAGAACAGCTGAAGGTAAGATGTGCTCACAGGGGTTTCCCCTGTCACATTTTACCAACCACTCAATTCTCCCCTTTTCTAGGGAAGATCCTTTGAATCCTTCACCATTGCTAATTCAGTAGTTTACTCAGATCCTATTTACTGCTGGTTTAAATATTTTAAAGCAACTGAATGGATGGACCTGTAATACAGTGAAGTAGATAATGGGTATGCTTATACCACTATCCTCTACCAGGTAGAATTACTGTCCAAATTACCACGCCAGTATGTCATAAACCATATGGAACCTGCAGAAATTCTCCATTAGATCAACTCATAGAGACAGACCATTTAGGAACAAGGGAACCCATGATCTGCCCCTGTTTTTGCTACGAAGCTCTGAGGGAGTATGGGGTACAGCAGACTGAAAATGATGATGCTCCTACACGGCTATGCCTTGGTTACAGCATCTTCACCTGCCCAGTTGTGTGCATTACCTTTCTAATGAGCAATCTGGTGCTCTCCTGTGTTTCTGAGAGGTACTTTCTGATTTAGAACTTCTCTGCAGATAAAGTCTGAAAGTCAAAAGAAAAACTTGCAGACACTGGCATCTTGTCTCAAGAAGCTTGGCATGGACAAACTGGAAACCATGCTGATACCAGATGGACTCCTTTGTTCCCTCTGTCCTGTTGTCCCCTCAGTGAGAGAATTTTTTCATGGGAATGACACCAGCTCTAAGGCCCTGACAGGCCTCCTACCCTGCTTCTGCTGACAACTATGAGATTGAAATTGATAACAGGTATAGAACAACCTGCTGACAAGCATGAGATCAATAGTGACTCCAGCTCCTAATGCTCTCTTCTCTACAGGCAGCAAGTACCACAGGTGGTGGGTGGTTCAGTTCTATTAGGAACCCTTGGCCTTAGACACAAGCCTGGCCTCTTGCATAAATACTCCGAGTGGATTCTAGTTCATGTCACCTCTTCAATATCTCAGGAATCCAATCTGTTGCAAACCCCTCTAGTTCCAAAAAAGGCCACCTCTGGAAGACAGAGTGGCTTATAAACTCAAACAGTGTGGGTACTGATACACCCTGCTCTCCTGTACTGTGACAATCATATGTCTTCCCAGGCTGCCCATAAAATCACTAGAATGAGTGGGGAAGGATAAAGGGTTCTGTCATTTCTTGCATCTGGGCTTTACCCTCATTTCTCAGCCTATCATTAATGACTACCAAAACAAATCCACTTTCTCTGTGAACTGAGGACCTGATGGGAACCCAAAGACTGTGGGGCTCTTTCTGGGAGCTTGTAGAGGAGGTCAGTGTAAGAACAAGGTAGAAAGTGACCAAGATTGTGTCAGGTCTTAAGCAGGGCCAAGACTTTGTACTCTGGTAATTTGGACCTAATTCTTACATCAAGGTCCTTGAATTCTGTAGTGGTATTGTTGACTTAACACAAGCCATATCAACACTTGGGATCTCAATATTATGCTGTTAGACAGGAGGGTGTGATACTAAATTACACACACACAAACTACATAAACACTCTATGGGTTCATACAAAACTATATGCACATATACAAATGCACAAACACACACTTTCGTGGCTTTGTGTTAACACTAGGGGTAACTTGGGGTCACTTGGGGTAATTGATCGAAGGAAAAGCCGAAAGGTGGCAGAGCAGAGGAGCGATGCCAGGGAGAAGCTGCACAGAAGCCAGGGCCAAAGCTGGAACAGAGAGACTGGGGGGGAGCTGGGACCTGGGTCAGGGGAAGCTGTGGGTGCTGGGAGAGGCTGCAGGGGAACTGGGGAAATGCGGGTGCTGGGAGATGATGCAGGGAGTCGGGGAGAGGCTGCGGGGGAACTGGAAGGTATGGGGAGAGGGATGCTGGGGCCAGGGGAGCTGGGCATCAGGTTGGGGGAAGCTGTGGGTGCTGGGAGAGGCTGCAGGGGAACCAGGAAAGCTGCAGGTGCCAGGGAGAGGCTGCAGGTGCCGGGGAAAAGCCTCAGGTGCCGGGGAGAGGCTGCAGGGGAACCGAGGAAGCTGATGGTGCCGGGAGAGGCTGCAGGGGAACTGGGGAAGCCGCACTTGCCACGGAGAGGCTTTTCAGAGGGCCTATGGCTCAGGAGCAACAGCAGGCCTGAAGCCTGTCTTTGAGTGACGTACCATAATGTGAATATTTGCAGATGCTGTGGTTGGCTTGGACAGCAGAACAGAGAAAACAGTCCAACTGTCTAATTGGACACAACCGGTAAGAAAAAGGCAACCTTGCTAGCCAGAGCTAGAACAGTGTTCTGCCATGGAAAGAAAGGAGATAAGAAGCCCTCTGTATTGTGTTGTAACTTGCGACCATCTTGAGTTATTGTATCAGGGTGGGGTCCCTGGGAGTGGCAGTGTTACCCCTAGGCTCCTTAACCGTGCCAGTCTTGCCCTATAGGCACTCTGTCTCACCCATCATGTCTTGTTGGTATAATTGATATAGGGAGGCTGCCCTTGATCTTTAGGTTTAGACATGATCTGGCTAGATCTTACTGAACCTGTGGTTCACAGACCCCTTGGCGTACCATGTTATGATGTATGGTACCCGAGTCTTCTCAGCACTATGGGCTATATGCATGGCTCCAACCGCCCCTTTACCATGCTCCAAGCCTCACAGATGCTACTAGCATTGTCTTGCCTAGGCCTCATTATAATTCAGCTTCTTGTCTTCACTGGGCTCTCTGCAGACCTGTCTCTGCGCCCCTCAGTGTTGGGCTCTCCACAGCCCTTATCGCTGTGCCCTCTCTGGCACCGGGATCCATGCCCCCCAAATCTGCGCCCTTTCTGGCACTGGGGCCCCAATGAGGCCTCCTCCTTCCCCAAATAGCCTCACCCAAACCACCAGTGTTATCAGACAGCAAACAAGCAACAGCAATCAAACAGAAACCCCTGGGCTATAACATAACGAAGTGAAAGGCATGCTGTGCCCCTTTAAAAGAGTAAAACTCCTTCTCTAATACTGGGTGCCTATAGGCAAGGGTACCCCATGGGCTCCTGGTACCCCATTAGCCCTAAGGGTAACATATCCAATGGGGCTGTAGCATCTCTGGGCCCTTCCTTCCTGGAGGCTACTTCCACTTCAGCTGCTGGCAGGGAACTGAGCTGCCTGGTCCCAGGCGTAGGGTTTATATAGGCCTTGGGCCCTGCCTCTTCCAACCAGATGACCAGGTGCAGGTGTGGCCAATTCCCTCATTAGTCAGTTGCCATGGCAACCTGCACCTGGGCTCTTATCTGGCCCTTTGTGTTCCCTCCCCGGGCAATCTCTGCTCTAATAGGACCATGCACCTTAGCGCCCTGTGACAGTTATGTACTGATTCTCTGCTGTAAAATTAAGCAGAATGTACTTTATAAGAAGGTCCACTAGTTTGGTCAGATCTGATAGGGTGCTTCTCCTTGTCATTGATCTGGGGCTTGTAAACAATGCCACTATCAAGTGAAATGAAGCAGAGTGGTGCAAATACCACTATCATCTAGTGATAAGGCTTAAAAAACTAAAAGGAGTAATGACAGGATCAGTACACAAACTACTTATTCCACAGGAGTGTCTCAGAGATTATATTACAACTACAGTATGCGCTTATGAAGGTTCAGGCTGTGCTAATGCCAGGCACCAAGTTAATGGAGGTTTATGGTAGTTGTCAGCGCAAAGTCTGTTCTACTCACGAGACATAAGCATGGTAACATCAGACCTGCTGCTTCTCCTAAATTAGTTACCTGACGATGGGCAAAACTAGCATATTCAGATGCCTTTATTTTTTTTCTCTTGCTTTTGTCAGGAGAAACTGTGTTCTCAGAAAGCATCACTGAAGGTATTTTTAACTTGTGGGCCTGGGGCAGCCTGTGCCTTGACTTCACTTTTATTTCCAAGAAAGGTAAATGTGGTGACACCTGGTAAAACTTAGAGCATGTCAGAATGTAGAGAAAAAGGCAACAGGAACATTGGAAATTGAAAGTTCAGTGCTGCTTCCTAATGTCCTCAAACAAGTAACCTAAGTATTGTTTCTTCAGGATGATGCTTGTAACAAATTACAAATAACAGGTTAATGTACTTGGGTATTCTCTTCTGCAGGTGCAGTGTTGGGAAAGTTGAGTCTTTCTTCTGAGGATCTCAAGCATTTTGCAAACAATAAATTGTCTCTTGTAGCTGCTGTGAGGCAGGCAAATAAATATTCTTGCCACTGTTTTACTGATCGGGAAACTGCAGCACAAAACTTAAGTTCCCTTCCCAAAGCTGCATTTCAGTGAACCAGCAGATCACAGGTTTGACTCTCAGTCTTCTGCTTTGACCATACTGATTCAATTCAGGATTTGAAAGTGACTGGATTCTTGTAAATGATTGTCTGAACTTGCTTTTCACAGAACACCTATGAGATGGTGTTCTACATTAGAGAAGAAATTGTTAGCAAAGTAATACAAATGGATAAAAATTAGGTCAGGGCATGCGAATGGGAGGAGGGAGCTGTTCTCCCTCTGCTCATAATCACCCTAATAAAAAGAAATGAAAGTAAAGTACCTCTTCTGAAAATGCTGTTCTCTAATGGTTTCTTTCATATCCTGCTTAGGCACAATGATTTACTGTTCCCATGAGCAGTCTCCCTACCAGGTTCTCTATGGAGAACCACACATCTTTAAGGAAATCCTGGTTTTGCAGTTCCACATCTCCCCAGATGTCTTCTTCCAGATCAACACAGTTGGGGCTGATATTCTCTACCAGACAGTCAGGGAGTTAAGTCAGCCTGATGAAAACACCATCCTTCGTGATGTCTGTTGTGAAACTACTGAGCACTATAGTGCAATGGGCAAATGTTAGCCTCAGTTCAACCAGGTTTTGTTTTTTTCTCCTGTCCCTAGAAGAATGTGGTTCCTCCACTATTCCCATTATCTAGATCTCCATTCCCACAGCTGAGAATAAGTCCTTTGTCTCTCATTTTTCCAGGTGTGATTGGTCTTTCTTTTGTTCGCCAAGTATCCAGGGTCCTTGGTACTGAGATAGTGGAGAAGGCTGTAGAGGATGCCAGATAGAATGCAGTATTGAATGGTGTGAAACTCACTTTTGGCTGGAAGTTTAATTGCTACAAAATGCAGTGACCCTTAGGTGGAAGGCAGTGGCCCTTAGGCTTCTAGCAGTGTCTGTGTATTTATGGACTGTGCTCTGTTCCAATAAAAGGGAGGAGCTTTTTGCTACCAGCACCCCACTCTCTACTTTCATAGTTAAACTCTATGTGAAAGGGGCATGAAATTGACCTGGTGGTTAAAGAAAGTGGAAGCAGAATGGGGGAAAGTGGCTGGGGAAAGAGGCATCAGGAATGGAGCACTGGGGAAGAATAGGTAAGAGGTTCTGTGCTCACATGGAGAGCAGCCTCAAGCTGTATGCATAGTTTCATAGTAGCTAGGGTCAGGAGGGACCTGAACAGATCATCCAGCCT